AAAAGTACACATTTATCAATATAAGAAATAAACAGTAGCAGAGAGACTTTCTTTCTATACCAAACCCAAAACCAAACTCGCTGCTGTCCAGTCAGATCCGACCCATAGTGACTCCTCCTTGGGTTTCTGAGGCAATATCTCTAGGAATGTAGATTGGCCAATCTTTCTTCTGAGGAGTGGCTGGTGGGTCTGAACTGCCAGCCTTCTGGTTAGCAGTCAAATGCCTTAGACACTATGCCACCAGAGCTTCTTTTCTTTCTATGGCAGGGAAGAATATTAGAAATGAAACCTTTGTTGTATAAATGGCAAAAACTTTAGAATGAAATAAATTAGTTTTGGTAATAACAGTAGTATTTGCCTGCCAGAGATAAAGCACATAAATGCAAAAGACATTCAAAAGGAATTGTAGAACGGTACCTTGAACAATGTTCTCCTCTATGCGGCAATTTACTTCCGTAGTGATATTGCCTCGGAAACCCAAGGAGGGTTAGCTATGAGTCGGGTCTGGCTTGACGGCACATAACAACAACAATAACAACAACAACAACAACATACTGTTTTTTAGACTTTTTTTTTTTTTTTCCCTGAGCCTGGTCCTATGAACTAGTTGGATGAAGAAGAAAGATTGGTGGCCATGTGTTACAGCATTTCAGTGTACAGAACTCTGGTAAAAATATTTTAGAAAAGTTGGGACAGAACAGAAATCCCACTTTATGAATGCAATGCTATTTTGGGTATTACCTCTCTAAGATCTCATAGAAATTTCTAGGTCACACAAATCTGGAATACTCTTTGTATGCACTTTGATTTTTAATATGTAGGATCCTTTTTTATTTCTTCAACCATTTAAATTTTCAACAAATATTTATTGCATCTTTTGTCAGGACCTTTCTTGAGTCTGGAAATTTACTAATCAATTAAAATGACAGTCTCTTCTCTGTAAACACATACAGTATAATGATTAAAAACACACGGGCACACATACATCACAAATTTTAAGACAATGAATCATAGGTATCTATTTCCTGATGCAAACAAAATGAAACTTAAAAAGATAAAAAAAAAATAAATAAAAGCAAAAGGCAAGAAGGGAATGAATAATGAACAATGGGGTGAAACAGAAAAACTGACACAAATAGAAAGACTTAAAGACAAGAATTTACATTGGATTTCCCAAACACGTTTTGTATACAAGTGATAAATATAAGGTTAAAGAAAGATTGAAACTCAAAAATCAGAGGAAAGATACGTCAGAGAAAGGCTAACCGAAAGAGCTAAGTTATACTAATATTAAAACTACTAGATTTCAAGGCTAAAACCACTATACAGTAGTAATGGTTCAGTTTAGAAGTTGTAATAAATATAAGTTTGTATGTCACTTAATACAGTAGTTGCAAAGTAGAGCAAAATTTAACTATAAGGAGAAATTAATGAGCTCACTATCATAGTTGAAAGGAACTCTGGTGGTATACTGGTTAAAGCATTTGGCTGCTAACGAAGAAACCAGTGGTTCAAATCCAGCAGCCACTCTATGGGTGAAAAATGAGGCAGTCTGCTTCCTTAAGAATTTACAGCCTTGGAAACTCTACGAGAGTCGCTACTGCGTTGGAATTGACTCGACAGAAGTGACTTTGGTTTTGTCTTTATCACAGTTCGAGACTTGAACATACCTTTCTTAGAAGCTGATGTGCATACTAAATCAACTATATGGAAAATGTAAACTAAAACAAGCATAATTGAAAAGAAATGAACATTACTTGCAACAACAGTAAAACATATTCTTTGCAAGCCTACATGAACCATTTAAAAAATGATCACATTCGAGGTTTAATTACCCTCCTTACTAAATTCTAAGTTTATATAGATCACACTCATAAACATATTAAACTTAAAAAATATTTTTCAAAGAGATTCAAGAATCAAAGAAATAATTATAATGGGAAATAGAAAATGCTGTAAATTAAATGATTTTGAAAATATTTAAAGGAAATTAGAAGAAATTGATAACCTTAAATATTTGAGGAAACAAAGATCCCATTATGTGAATTTAATATCTCATGAAAATAAGAATTTAGAAGTGTTATCTTTCCCACTCAAAAATATAAGGTAGGAAATAATCAGGAAAAAACTAGAATTTAATGAAGCAAACAAACAATATAAGAGGATTATAAAAAGACCGTCTTTGAGGCTATGATAAGACTAATAAAATGAATAAACATATGAAACACTTTTTGAACAAAAAATTAGATAAGGCACAGAAAAAGTCAGGACTGTAACATCTCTGATTCTCAAACAGGCTAAAGAGACTAAAAGGGTAAAAAATAGTATAGACTCTATACCAGTAAATTTGAAACATTGTTGTTGTTGTTGTTATGTGCCGTCGAGTCAAACCCCACTCATAGCGACCCCTCCTTGGGTTTCCGAGGCAGTATCACTACGGAAGTAGGATTGCCCAAC